ATGAGTCACATGCTCTACTGACTGAGCCAGCCAGGTACCCCAAGAGCACACTTATCTTGATGAGCACTGAGTAATGTATAGAATTGTTGAATCACTATATTGTACACCTGAAACTAATATAACACCGTATGTTAAGTATATTGGAATTAAAATAAAAAATTAAAAAAAAATACTCCGGTGGGGTGCTTAAGTGGCTCAGTTCATTGAGTGCCTGACTCTAGATTTTGGCCTGAGATCATGCCCTGGGATCAAGACCCACATCAGGCTCTTGTGCTCAGAGGGGAGTTTGCTTCGGGATTCTCTCTCTCTCCCTCTGCCCTCCCCCTACTCTTTCTCACTCATAAATAAATAAATCTTTAAAAAAATACTCTTGTATCTAAAGAATGCTACAGTGATCACTTATATTCTAGGCAATGTAAGATTTTGAATAAGTTTTCCTAATCATCACCGAAGTATTAAAATACATTCATCACTGAGACCCTTTAATATAAGAATGGAGCTGGTGTTTAATGGGACTGGTGTTAGGAGCTACTCATCAGTACTGTGGCCTTAGGCAGGCCACTCAATCCCTCTGGACCTCAGTTCCTTCATTTCTAAAAGAGGTAACATACATGTGCCCTCCTCTACCTCAAAGGATTTTGTAAGGTTCAAATGACAACATATATGAGAAATGCTCTTTTAAATTACAGGCTGTTGTTCAATATTAACTATGATGTTACTTGTTTTGTGACTCCTGGGACACTGGCACACCCTAAGAAACTTTAAGCAACAGGAAACTTTTGGCCAAATGATCTATCTCACTCCCGGCCCCAACCCTTCATTCCCTGGCTGCCCAAGAAGTCACTGCAGACGGCTGATAGCAGGGGGAAGGAGCTACAACATGACCAGTTTAGGGAAACTCGTGAACAATCAATCTCCCAGTCCTACCATCTTCCCCTCTGCCATCCGCCACAACCCATATCCCAAACATCTTCCTTACCATCCAGAGCCTTCTAGGAGCCACTCAGTACTTGGCACTCAGTAGGTATTTGATATTTACTGAATTTGACAACCAACTGTTTTTGTTCTTAAAGATTTTATTTATTTGACAGAGAGAGACACAGCGAGAGAGGGAACACAAGCAGGGGGAGTGGGAGAGGGAGAAGCAGGCTTCCCGCGGAGCAGGGAACCCCAATGCGGGGCTCAATCCCAGGACCCTGGGATCATGACCCGAAGGCAGTCGCTTAACAACTGAGCCACCCAGGTGCCCCGAATTTGACAACCAATTTAAATGGAATTTTCGGGGCACCTGGCTGGCTCAGTTGGTGGGAGCATGTGAGTCTTGGGTTGTAAGGTTAAGCCTCATGTTGGGTGTAGAGATTACTTAAAAATAAAATCTTCAAAAAAATAAAGTAAATAAATAAATAAATGGAATTTTCACCTCTTTCAGTAAAATCATATATTCATCCATATACTATTCCTACATTTTGAAATACTGTAAGCAGAAAGAGTTAGGGATCTCTGGGTAAAGACAGACATAGCTTTCTTGACATAAGAAGAGTCATTTTAGGCCCCCACCCATCTTGTGAAAGAATGTGAGAACAGTCCCCACGAGGCCAGGAGACAGCCTAATCACACTCAGAAGTGAAGACTGACCTGATACACACTCCTGATTATCTCTGTAGGATTTAAACCCCTTTGAGCACTCAGATACCAGACCAATTGGAGCCAGAGAACTGATCATGCTGACCCTTCCCGGCCCTCATGACTTTGGCTTGGACTTAGTCACCCCAATTCCATGCTGTATTCCCCACTGTGTAAGCCTCTTCATGAACATGTATGCACCCTCAGTTAAAACTTCCCCAATTTTGTTGTTCTGGGAGATGCTTCTTTGGGAAAGATCCCCCATGTTCTCCTTTACTTGTTGCAAGTAAAAACCCTTTCTTTTCCTATTCTTTGGTTTGGTTGTGTCTTTTGGCTTGACACCCACCAAGAGGCAAACCTTGGTAACAATAAGACACATCTAACTTTAAGAGAATACAGGCATGAATTATTAAGCTCTACAGCCAGTCTTCCTGGGTTCTAGGCTGGGGGACCTTAGACAAGTCATTTAACTTCCTAAGCCTCAATTTCCCATTTGGAGAATGGAGGTGATAGTAACTTCCACAAAGGAATGGGGCCTGGTATAGAGTCAGTGCTCATTTAATGAATCAATGTTAGCATGTATTATTTATAAATTATGGTAATTGTTAAAAAAGTAGTAATAATAAGCAAGGTGTCTTGAGCCACCGATGAATGCAAAAATCTGACACCATTTAGAATTGGTCAAAAAACTGGGAGAGAGGGGTGCCTAGGTGGCTCAGTCGGTTAAGGGTCTGACTCTTGGTTTCAGTTCAGGTCATGGTCTCAGGGCTGTGTTTATCGAGCCCTGTATGGGGCTCTGTGTGGAGTCTGCTTGAGAATCTTTCCCCTCCCTCTCTCTCCCCCTCTGCTCCCCCAACCCTGCTCTCTCTCTCTCAAATAAAAATACAATCTTAAAAAACTGGGAGAGAAGGGAATCATCTTTTTAGGAGGAAGCAAAAAAGGAGATGAGGTAGAGTCAAGAAAGAGGCTAGTGTCGTGGTAAAGTAACAGAAGCAAATGGAATTCCTTCAACGATACGTAGAATGCTGCCAAACATTTTAAAGCATTTAAAAAATCACGTTCACCACTAGTTCATATTCTAGGTCATAAAGCATCTAGCATAATTCTGTCTTCAGTTTCATATGGAAGAAGTTCTACCACAATTGACAAAATTAATATGGTTGAGGAACTACACGTAAACTTCTAAGTATTAAACTAGTGTTTTATTCTACCTAAAACACTGCTTTATGAGTCAATCAATAAGTATTTATTTGACAGAGAGAGACACAGCAAGAGAGGAAACACAAGCATGGGGAGTGGGAGAGGGAGAAGCAGGCCCCCGGCCGAGCAGGGAGCCCGATGTGGGGCTTGATCCCAGGACCCTGGGATCACGACCTGAGCCGAAGGCAGACGCCCAACGACTGAGCCACCCAGGCTCCCCTACCTATATGTTTCTTTTACAAATAAATCTTCTAGGCATGATGCTAGTTCTTAACAATGTGGTGCTCTGTGACACTGCCCATGTGGTTTCAAAGGAACTTTAATGGATCATCATTAGCATTTTTCTTTATTTTTACTACCTTCTAAAACACTCCTTAGATCAGTATTACTTTTTTTTTTTAAGGAAGAAACAAAACTTACCAAAGTCTAAAATTGCTAGAGAAGTCCTTAAAATCCATAATTTGCACATTTTAACCAGTCTTTCCTCCTCAGCTCAAGGGCTAATTAAGCAAGTTATAATTTAATCACTCGTATACAGTAATCAATTCACTTCACATTAATCAAACATTAGAATATACGAATACTCAAAACCAGAGGCTTTCTTTTAAAGATGAGTACCTAACATGAGGTGTTAATTCAAGTTTGAGAATGACTCAGCTTGAAGAAGGGAGGGGCAACGTCCTCCTATTTCCTCTCAGAAAAAATCTTTTCTGACTAGAGCAGAGAGAGCCCTGAAATGGTTAAGAACACACCCTCAAAGTTCTAAATACCTGGGGAGATATGTGAGTTACTTGGAATACTGCTACATGAAAAGAAATATTATTTTTCAGAGGGACACTACTGATCTTCAGTCTTGTTGCACTTTCTCTGGGGTGTAAATGCATCAAGTTCAACCATGGGGAAGCATTACTTTTCTCTTGTTCCATTTGTCTCATTCTGAGCAGAACCCCAGAATGTGGTTTTGGCTCAGGTTTCTCTGTTGTCATCCATGAAATCATTGTGGATGGAGAATTTCTCATTTTCTGACTCTTTTCTCAGGGTAATAATAATGAATGCCTCAACTGCTGAGATATACTGTGGTTATTAATGCACTTTGACAAACACCTCTTCTTGTTTTGGTATATAAATTGAGGGAGATAAAAGACATACATGCACTGCTTCTTAAAATTTGGCTTACATGTTTCTTTGCTCACCCAGAACCTGGTGAAAACTGCGGGGGAAAAAAACGGTGTAGTTTCTGGGAGCTGTGGGGCCTTAATAAGATTTTCATTTAACTACACCTGCACACAATTTACACAGTAACTTTGGTGATATAAACGCTTACAGGAAGTACATAAAAGTTTTCATACGCTGTTAAGAGAAACGAGGATTTCCAAAATTTACTATACATTATTTAGAAATTGCATACAAGCACAACACTGTATATTACTTAATAAAATCTTATTCAGTAAAGAGGGGGAAAAAAAACCTATCTTACGCTTTCAGGCCAATGACTAGCACTTTCAAGAAGGTGTCTTCTATGGAAGGAGGTACACAATAAATACTGAGAAACTAACGGAATGGCTAAATACAGCATGCCGGGGGTTAGGGGGAAAATGAAAGCTGCAGGGTCTTACTCCACCAAGTACCCAGCCACTGTTCACCCCGCAGTCCCTCATCTGTCCTATTCCTCCCTAATCCTTGCTATCAGACAGATTCCTGGATTTTTTATTTTTTGCTCTGCTGTGTTTTGGAGGAAAGAAACTTATCACTCAACATCGGGGACCACTAAATTGCTGCCGCTCTTAAAAAATGCATAATAGGAAAAGAGTAAAAAACATTTGGGAAGACCACATACTGGCACTCAGAAAATTCTAGAAGTTCTGCAGACCCGGAGTGTCACAGTCTGTAACCTCAAATAACGTCACCCTAACTTTTACCTTCTCTGATTTTTCTCCCTTCCCAAAAGCTCAGGTCTGTTAATGAGAATGGGGCCACCAATAATGCGCGCACAGGTTTTTGCTTAAATCGAATGCGTTTTCTCTTGGTCGGAAAGGAAAATCCACCAAGAGGCGGACAAAACTGCACCATCTCCATGGAGAACAAATCTCAGGCAAGCAACTTCTCCGGCTGCAGACTGCCCCGGGGCTGTGCCGGTGCGGCCCGCCGCGCACGGCCTCCGCCCGCGACCCGCTCACCTGAGCTCCAGCTGGTCCAGGCTCTCCAGCAGGCGGCTGGAGCGGTCGGCCATGGAGGAGGAGCGGCAGAAGCGCCCCTCGTTGGCTTTCGCGTTGATCTTCGCCTGAGCCATCTGAGCCTCCGAGGCGGGGCGGCCAAGAGGTCACCGGCCTCTCCGGTGGCAACGAGTGGAAAGTCCGGCGGCCGCAGGCGTCGCCGTCACCGCGCGGGGCGCCCGCCTCCCTCTGACGCCCGCGGGGGGCGGCCCGGGAGGACGCGCCGATGCCGCCGCCGCGTGGCCAAACAACGGCAGGCGCGCCGCCTGCTGGGCTCGGGGCTACGGTGCCTGGCAGGGAGCGGCTGCAGCTGCGGGAGGGAGCTCGCTGGTCACCGGGCGTCGAGGGTGAGCCGCCAGGGCCCCGGGGCCAGAGGAGCAAAGACAGGCGGCCTCCGAGGCACGTGGAAGGGTGGACGCAGGAAGGGGAGGGCCTAACGTGATCGTGGATCTTTCTCTCCCGACTCTGGACCAACCCAAAGCCCAAGGGAGACCCCCCAGGACAGCCCCCCTACTCTTGTGCACCCCCGACACTGGAGCCTGAATGTAGCCAACTCCCCACACGCGAAGGTACCTAACAGTAGGTTGTGGGTATTTCTGTGACAGCTTCGCTTAGTTTCTCCCAGCGCCCATAATTCACGGCAAAACCAAAACCATTAAAAATCCTTGATATGGGGAGAAAAGTTTTCTTTGTGGCACAGGTAGCATTTAAGTGCAGCTCCTTGGCAGTCTGTACTTACCTGACCCTGTCTTGTTACCAGTCCCTTTCCCGAGGTGGAAATAATGAAAGCCTGGACAACACCACTGAAGCTTACAGGGAGAAAAAAACCTACCCCATCTTTGTCTTTCACACCCAATTTACTTAAATCTCCTGTTAATTAAAAAAGATGCGGCAAGTCACTAGGGCAGATACTGTAAAGGTCAGTAAAAGCGGAACAGGATTGGGAGTACAGATTTATGTACTTAAAAGCTTGTGCTTTGCGCAACATATGTCATTATAGCCATACGCCTCATATTGCAAGGATGAGAATGTACAGGGCACATAAAATGATAATAACAGTTTAAGCTGAATCACAACCTTTAATCTGAGATCAAAGCCATTTAAATACTTGAACAGAGATGAGGGCCTTCAGTCTGGATTCCAGTTCTCTCTGAACTTAATCTACATACTAATAAACTATTTTTGTAGAGGATTATTTGACCTCATTAAATATATTTTGCCATTATCACAACAGACTTGGAATCCGAAGACATGTTGTGAATGGTTTGAAAGTCTATCATGTAATTTTAGAATCATCCTGGACTCTTTTTTTTCTCTCCTATCCTATAGATCCAATCCATAAATAAATCCCCTCAGCTCTACTTTTAGAATATACTAGGATTCTTCTCCCCAGTTCCACGGCTAACACTCTGGTCCCAGCCACCATCAATTTTCACCTGGACTACTGCAACATCTTCCTGTCTGGTCTTCCTGCTTCTACTTTTGCCTCTGGTGTATATGTTCTCAATATAGTAACTACAGGTAATCCTTCCCCAAAAGCCAGATCACACCAGTGTCAGAAACATAATCTTTCCCTTCTCTATTTGCCTTCATTAGTTACCACCATTGGATATACTTGCTTATGATAATAATGCATAACACTCTATCCAACCCTCTCTCCCCCCGTTATGTGCTCCATAAAGGAGTATGGGCTTTGCTTTGCTCACTGGTATATCCCCAGTGCTTAGAATAGTCACTGGCACATGCTAAGTACTCAATACTTTGTGAGGGAGTGAATGAATGAATAAATAAATGAATGATATAATGAAAAGATACACATCTTTATCAATGTTGGAAACATTTACTTTTGATAATAATCCATTTAACTTTCTGTAATATCATCCACTGATTACCTCTCCTCTTTGTGTCTAAATTAAGTTCAAAATATGAAGTAATTTTAAAATGATTTTTAATTGCTTAACAAATCAAAATACAATCAGTGACAATTATTAATGAAAACATTAAACAACCCATTTATCTTTTTTTAAGGGTCATGATGAAATATCCCTTTACTGTCATATAAAAAAACTTCATTTACTCTCTACTATACTACTATACACCCCACAAAAGCTTAACAGAACATCAGTGTATATCACATATGTGTGTGGCACCTCTAGCAAAGAGGTGTAGATTTCTCTTCCCCCACATCTGTTTTTCACCACTCTTCTTTTGGGATCATCCTTTCTCTGCTCCTCACTATTGAGCAAGATTGGGGAGATGTCTTTAAGGTCCAGTCATGACTACCTCCTAAAACCCTGCTTGAAGACTTTAACATACAAATTAAAAGTATAATGTGGTCATTTTGGAAAAATGGCAAATTCTCAACCTACATGTCTCCCTACTTAAAAAAAATGCAAGTAGGACAGAACTGACATCATAAGAAATAAAAACACAAATTTGTTTCCAATGTGGACTAGAAAGATTATAGTAATAAAAAAAACAGTAATGCTATTTTACACTATCAAGTTGCAGAGAAAGAAGAAAATTCTAGCCATGATTTTTTTGTTTTAAAGACAAATTTATATTTATAGAAAATTTTAAGTTTGGTATGTAATTACTACTTAAAATCTTTAGGGAAGACATTTCTGGTCATGAAGCACACGCACAAAGATAGTATGACAAGCCCTTCTTAGTCTTCTAATTATGTAATGTTTTTTATTATTAACAATGGAGCCTGACCATCTAAAAATTAAATGTGTAATACCAAATGTAGGAAACTGACAATTTATTTAATGAATAATTAAAATGAAGACACTTCCAATGAAATAAAAATTTTAAAGGTTAAGGAAGATTACTCCTGAGTAAACCATCAACATTATTTTTTGGAAGAATATTATGTTTACACAAATATATATAAAAAAAGACTAATGTTATTAAAAATACATTTAATTCTATGCAAACATTTTGACATCATTCCCTTTAAACATTAGATAATACAAGTCACATGAAAGCCTAAGCAGGTAAAAGGAATGGAAAAGTTTTCTTTTTAATAATTTCAAAGAAATTAGGGGTTTTTTTGTTTGTTTTAATTCCAGCAATGTGCTGCTCCAATAAAGCAGGACTATACATCTGAGTGAAACCCACAAAGAACATTGCTGGTAAAAGTTTTTAATCTGTTTCCATGATCAGTTTCCATTACTCTCTTCTAATAATCATAAACAAAGATCTCAAAGGTATTCTATATTAGTGCCACATAAGAAATAGAATTTACAGAAAAACTGAGCTATGACAGCTTTATATTCATTTTCACTCCTAAAAAAATAAACTAGAATCATCTGTAGAGTACAAATAAAATTAAACAACTAATGCTATTTGGGAAACATATAAACAATAGTCAAGAGCTTCTCTATTTTTTAGTTTTTTTAACCTAAATATATAAATTCAAAGTTAACTGGGAAACTGTGATAACTATATTAGAATACATGATTATATCTGCATTAACATGTATTCTATTCCTCTGTACATTTTTGCAAAATAGCACAAAAATACAAAGCAAATCAGATGCAAAAGCAAAAAAAGCATGTTTCCAAATACATTTGTACTAACAGATTCTCTGGTCTCCTTTAGAAAACAAACTCAAGAATTCATTATCCTGAGTCTCTTCAAGGCCACTTGATGTTGTGTGGTAATATCTTTACAATTACATTTCCTCAAGACTTCTTCTAATAGCTTCTTCTAATTCCACATCTGCATTAACAAAACAGAGAATTTTAATATTTAGGGCAGAAAACTAATAAATGTGCTTTATGTAAATCTCATTAACTACATCTGTCTGTTCAAGAAGGAAAGGAAATACAAAGTTGAGAAAACTAGGATGACTTGGCAGTTTCTTCATAAAACTTGAGTATTTCAAATAATGAATATCTGGATATAACCTCAGACTGAATTAACATATGAGTTTACTAAGGAACTTGCAAGTTATTTCCATTTAGGGACAAAAGTCAACAAACTTCTAGGGGCGCCTGGGTGGCTCAGTCGTTAAGTGTTTGCCTTCAGCTCAGGTCATGATCCCAGGGTCCTGGGATCGAGCCCCGCATCGGGCTCCCTGCTCAGCGGGAAGCCTGCTTCTCCCTCTCCCAAGCCCCCTGCTTGTGTTCCCTCTCTCACTGTGTCTCTTTCTGTCAAATAAATAAATAAATAAATAAAATCTTCAAAAAAAAGTCAACAAACTTCTAGAATCACTAACAAATAATCAGTTGAGGCAATGCATATAAGACTTAAAATAGAAATAGAAAGGCAAAACCATGAAATGCCAAAATCTCACAGGCATTGAAAATTTCATTTTAAGCTTTCTAGCATCGCAGGCAAAGAGTGAAACTCATGGCTATATAATGTTTTGAGAAGCATATATTATATATATATGCACTCATTTAACAAATATTTATTGCATGCCCACTGTATACCAGGCATAGTAGGAATACAATAGTGAACAGGAAAGACATTCTTGGGTTTACAAGTGTTTCTCCATTTCCTGGCCTTCAACCAGCTTCTCACACCAGATTTATTTCATCCCATCCAGTCCAAAGTCTCTCAGAGGTCTTGGTTCATAGGTACCAGTGATCCCTCTAAGATGCAGCTACACCTTCCTCTCAGCTGGAACATTGGTGTTATGTTTCTGTAATTTAAAATACTACAGGCTAGGGGTGCCTGGGTGGCAGAGTTGGGTTAAGCATCCAAATCTTGGTTTCAGCTCAGGTCATGATTTCAGGGCCGTGAGATGGAGCCCCATGTCGAGCTCCGTGCTCAGCATGGAATCTGCCCGGGACCGTCTCTCCCTCTGTTCCCCGCCGCTCTCTTGGTCTCTCTCAAATAAATAAATCAGTCTTTAAAAAAAAAAAAAAAGGCATTCAAACATAAAAGGGTACAGACCATGCTCATGTTGTCTTAATATGATGGGTACTGACTCTATGTGGCTATTTATATTTAAATCAATTAAAATTAAATAAGATTCAAGATTTAGTTCCTCAGTTAAGCAACATTTCAAGTGCTTAACAGCTACACATGACTATTAGCAACCATACAGCTTCAGATATAGAGTATTTTCACCATTACAGAAAATTCTACTGGACAGTGATGGTCTGTATGATGCAGTTTA